CATTTGTATAGACGTGTTTTTAAATATTATTTTTGTCAGACAAAAAAACGAACTTATATAGCGAAATAACATGCACAGCACACCTGTTTGTCCAGGTGGAGGCAGTGTTTATAAGGCTGAAGCTGGGAACATGCTCTGAACTGCCGACGTCGGCACAGGTTGTCGCAGTTTAATGATGAAAATTACATCACCGGGGTTTGCAGCTTCGGTTCGGCCGCCCCTTTTGGCACAACCCACCGGCAGAAATTTTTACCCCCCTCCCATGTTGACGGTAATGTGTGATTGGTCTGAAGTTCGTGGGCGTGTTTGTGCTGAAACTGAAAGCGCTCGGACACTCAAAAGAAAAAAAACTCACTTGTTGAAGCAGAGTTTTATAAAGATCGTCAAACCATGAAAAACTCATGAATGGAGATTWAATAGATGTTGTGCACGGAGGAATCTGACTGATAAAAACTGGAACTTTAACCAGGACAGAGGTGGATAAATAACATCGGGTGAGTGATGAGTCTGACTTTTTTTCTGCATTGTTGGCTGTTGCGGGGAGAACTCCATGCAGTGACGTATGCTGCAGCAGGAGGGGTTTCCCGAACTCGGYGTGGTGTGTCTCTGGAGCTACGAAAGGTGTGCTCAAAAATGATTGCCGAACAACCATGTGACCGCGCGTCGACCCGTCGGAATCGGAGCGAGTATGTTTCCAGTTTGAGTTCACCTGAAACTCATCAGACTGAAGAAGTCTCTTGGAGGAGAGACGAAACGTTTCACTAAAGAAGAACCCGTCCAGAGGACCTACTTATTTTTTCTTTTTGAGTCCCTATAGATAGCCCTTCATCTGGTCTAAACAAGAAAAAACAAATTCTGAAGCTCCTATGCTGAATTTGAGTTATATGCATTTTTAAATGTTCAAACACCCCCTTTTCAGATGGAGCCCCCTCCTCTAATATGGGGTCTATCGTAAAATCATTGGCTGGCTCAATGTAGGTCAGACACATCTACATTCCTGCCATATTTAACATTGATCGGTGCAGCCGTTTTTGTGTTTACCAAAATTCTTTAAATAAAACAATAAAAACTGCACGGAAACAATATGACCCCCATTTTGTGTGTGCGGGGGGTGGTGGTCATAAAATAGAACAGGTACAATTCAAAAGTTCAGGAGAAACTGTGTCTTCTGTCGGACATTTTAATCTCAAAACTAAAATAAAAAAATAAAATAAAATTCATCCTTAATTTTTCTTTGGAGAAGGCCCTAATACTAATACGGTATATATAAKTTTGCATTTGACAGGGCAGCAAATGCAGATTATCACATCCTGGTCATTTATCTTGCTGCTAAAAGACCCTGCAAAGGTTTACTGAAATCAGGCCAACGTGAGGACGCTCACTGAGCCTGTTCATTAGGCTGGAGCAAAAAGTAGGCAAGGCTGAATGAAACAGAACAAACACTGTGTTTTACACAGTATGGAAGACTCTCGGCCCTGTCTGCAGCCTTGTGAAATACTGCCCGGAGACACAAAGTGCTGCTAAAGGAATGTCAAAACAAGCAGAGAGGAGCTTGAAGTTTTGACGCCGGCCATGCGGTAAAAAGTATAAAAATTAAAAAAAACCAAGCCCAATCATGAGTCAGGGCTCAAGAATCTGGATCAAACATTCCTCATAATAAAAATGGATGAAAAGTCGATGAAAAAGACAAGTTGTTTTATTTCTGCTGTTATTTTTACATCCAGGCAGGATTGTATTTTAAGCTAAAAAGATTAAATCACACTGATATGTTTAAAAGACCATTAAAACATGTSAAGCAAAAAGAAGAGATTAAATTAAACTTTTTTTTCCACAACAGAAAACACTAATGCTGTGTTTGGTAAGATTTCAGAAATGTGTGGGTCATTAGGGCTCTCTCAGACTCTTTTCTAAAGCTATCTTATGTTGTTGAACGATCCTATAACTTTACTTACAAGACWACAATAAGATATTATGGTGCCATTTTGTGGCATTAATTATCTGGTAGAAAGMGCAAAGCACTTAGAGCTTCCTTAAGAGGCATAACAACACATTTAAAGACTGTAAAAACATCTCTGAACACAACGTATCGACTGTGATGTTGGAAAATTACTTTACAGAGTGTGTTTTTAAGGACTCTTCCAATGAACGGCAGACTTGTGCCATAAAACCTGCTCCTCACAAGAAGGGATAAAGTGTTCTTGTATCCTCTCACCGCTTGAGGAGGCTCCTGGTGCGTGTGGTGGGCGCTGAAGTGMTCCAGGACTTCCTGGTAATCACTGCGGTTCACATTGTTGCCGTTGACTTTCAGAACAACCTGGCCCGGCTGAAGACCGGCCCCGGCCGCCTCCCAGCCTGCGGAGGGTCGAAACAGCTCGTGTGAAAAGACATTTTTACAGGTAATAAACAATACTAAAATAACCAGTGAAGACCTTCGATTTCTACTTTGTCCTACTGTATAAATATATTCCTAAAAAACTTGCCATAAAGTATAGTGAGTAATTTTTGACTCATGTTTGAAGTTTTAGTATTACGGATCTAGCATTCCTTGAAGAAATGCATATCACCAATGCCTTTCTTGTCAGAGTTATAAACTATGATCAAGGAAAACTATGAAAATGACTTTATGCAAAATACTGTATCGTGATATTACAAAATAACTCTGCTACTACCACGTCAAACTTTAGCAAAATATTCATTTATTCATTCATTCGTTCATTCATTCATTTATTTTAAGAAAAATACAAAGATATTTAAAAAATCTATACACAAAAAAACACACAAATCATAAATAAAATGAAAGAGAGC